GCACAATTTTAAGTGTGGGGTGAGGAGATTGTCTGGGTGATTTTCTGTGCTATGTTAGCTTAGTTATAGTACTCGTTCTTAGTGTAGTAATTTTTTTTAAAAAAAAAACTAAAAAACAAAAAATTTTTTTGAAAGATTTGGACTTTTCCCGATAATGGATCTCCTAGACAGTTTTCTTGAGGGATTAAAGTCTAAACAAAAAAAATCCAAAAATATATCTTTTATTTTCTTTAGGTAGTAATAATCTCCCGTGGTTTTTCTTTGTGCCTCGGTTCTTTTCCATGGGATGTAGTTTGAACCGGGTAGTAGTATTTTTTATTTTTATTTTTAGAGTAGATTAGAATTTAGGGAATAAATGGAGGAAGAATGATGAACCTAGGCGCCCTTGACTTGTTTGATAGTAGCATATTTAGGCTTTGGCATGTGTAGTATCTTCCCTATGATTTGAAATTATTGATGATGCCTTGCTTAGTTGGATAGCATGTCTTGTGATGCCTATGTCTCGTTTTCTCACTTATGTTCACTTTGTGCTTCGTGCTTAATATCTCGTGGCTCCATGAATACTTGCATTTGTTTGAGAGTCGGAATGGGATCATCCTTTGTGAGTCATGTGCCATGTGTGGTGAGGTTTTTGTGTAGTCCATGTATTGTACTTGTGTCTAGAACTTGCCCGGTATGTGAGTTGAAGCGAAATTTTAGGTGATGTTCGGTTTGAAAAGTGACTTTAGGCTTTCTTTGATTTTTTTTAGCTTAATTGCTTATCACAAATAAAATCTATCCCTAGTTAGCCCTTTTGAGCCTATAGACTTTTATTTGGCACCCACATTACAAGACTATACCCTTTTTATTCTTAATTGACATTGTTTTGATCCTTTTTCCTCTTAAAGCACTTTAATTGCGAGATGAGCGCTAAAAGAAGTAAGAAGGAACTAAGTGTGGGGTGGCTTTTGAGTGGAACCAATAAAAGGAAGAAAGGTGCACTTGTTTTTTTTAAAATAATACACCACTAGCGAAAATTAAAAAAAAGAATAATCTGGAAAAAAGAAAAAGAAAAAAAATAGAGATGAATACATTGTTGTCTTGTTCCTGCTAGTGGGTATGAATTAATGTAGTGCTTAAAGAAAGAAGGAACATTGTTGGGAGTGATTTTAGTTGTGAAATTGAAGTTGGGATTGAAGAATTTGCGCTTAAAGTTGATTATGTGGTGTGTTAAAGTGCTTAGGAGGGTTAGTCACTATTCCCAAATATATCCTACCCGTCCCTTAGCCCACATTACAACCATGAAAAAGTCCTAATTGATTTTTGATCGAGTGAGCCTACATTAGTAGAGATTTACATTATGGGCAAGCCTATGGTACCAATTACATGCATGTGACTTCTTTTGTGAGGGTGAGAGATATTTTCTTTGATATATATGAGTCCTTAAAATATATTTGATCATGAGATTCGAATGTGTGGATTCAACTTACTCTCTTGCCTTGGTTGTGAGGGCACATGGTTTCACGAAGGATAGGTAACATTATTAGACTTCTCTAGGATGTTGGGTGTTCAAGCCATGAGTGCATTGTGCCATTGAGTCGNATTTACATCTGGAGACCAACTTTGGTCGCCAAATATATAATATTAAAATATTTGAGCCACCAAAGTTGGTAGCTATATGCTTTGCCCGGAAAATTTGGTCCTTTTACCTGAGAGACCAATGTTGGTCGCTATTTAGCGACCAACTTTGGTCCCTAAGGTAAAGGGACCAGCTTAATATCGACCAGGCGTGGTTGGTCGCTTTTTGGTCGCTTTTTGGCCAATAAGCGACCAACGTTGGTCGCTTTTGCTGGTCGCTTTTTTCCGGAATTCTAGTAGTGTGAGTCGTGGGTAAATGCACATGTATAAATGAATGCAATGCATAATGAAGTAAGACAATATGATCTCTTGGAATGTTATGAGACCCATGAATAGACAATATGGTAGTAGGACATATGTGGAGTCAGGAACATACTTAGACATGCTTGAATATCACTTTATAGGAATGAATAATGTAAATATCCTTAACTTTTAAGAGTAGACCCACTTATGGAATAGCATTACATTTACGTATCGTTACTTGGGTCATGCCAAAAAGAAGGAAGGATTAGACTTAACATACCTGGAATAAGGAAAAATCCGTGAATTATATTTTCAAATCATGTGGGATTAGTTACAGAACCATTCTCGGTCAAGAGCTTCAAAGAGAAACTCCCTTAAACCACCATTTTTATTCTTCCCATATGATTTCTTCTTTGTAGTGTTGGGTTTCAAATTTCCAGGGTAAAAACAAGGAAACAGTAAAATGCTTTCAACCTTGAGTCAAACGTGCCTCGAGGCTTCACATCCAAAATCACACTTGACGCAAGTACTTTCCTAAATGCTTCGTGGCTGAAAGCTGAAGCTAATTGCATTACCAACTCGGTGACCAGTAGTTTTAAAACAAACAAGTAACTTGACTAATGTTAGAGTTCAAGGACTGAATTAGCTTTCTACAAGCACATTTACTTTTATTAGATTCTTACAAAGGACGAAAACATGTCACCAAAAAGACAATATGATAAAGCTCTGAGGTAGGTATATACCATGAGCCCCTCAACCCAAGTACCAACCATTTTAAGGGCAGTAGATAGAAATTAAGTTGCATAATATTTTTAGTGGTGGTTTATATGCTTGACTAAAATCTGAATATGAGAAAAATGACATAATGAAAAGGCCAGTGGATAAGGTTTTCAGAGAAGATTACTCACTACATATTGTCACCTTATCAAAATAGTTTAAGAGTCATCACTTGAAGAAAGGGTGGCTGCCACTTGGGAGACTATCAAACCATATCCAATTACACTAATTAATTAATTAGGTAATGTCCTTCTATCCAGTAATTAACCAATTACCCACGTAATTAAAATTTATCCCAAATTACTTAAAATACTACTTACTTTTAATACACTATCATGGTCATGTGGTACCATACAAAATAAATACATACCCTATTATTTTATTAAAATATTCATGTAAAAATAGTAATCAAATTAATTATTAAACTATACATATACATTTAAATACAGTAACATAATCTTTGTAAACATACAATTACATCAAACAATATCACTATTAATCAATATAACTATTAATACTATAACTATCCACATAAACACTTAATATCTTACCTCACAAAACACTCAATTTTTAAACATACCTATTAATTACCAATAACACCACCACAACTATCCAAATGATAATCATTTTTGTATATAGCTTTAAATATATATCATGTTTATTGATGATAAGCTATAATTACGTATTTTAGTCGATTATTACACTCTAATTTACTGCACTTTAGTTGAGTTTGCGCTTTAATCGCTAGTGTTTTGCACTAATTGTGTGTTTTATGCCTTGTAGGTGTGGTTCCGAGCTATATAGATGTTATGGAATGAATTCAAGTGATTTGGAGCTTTAAAGTTTGAGTAAAAGTTCAAGGAATTAAGCCGGGATCGTGTTTGGGGGTCAACGGATGATAGTTAGAGCGAACGAAGACTCCAGTAGGCAGATTGCGCACTCTCTAGTAAAATAGACATAACTTTTCGCTCAGAACTCCATTTTAGCTCCACAATATATGGTTGGAAAGCTAACTCAAAGGGCTTACAACTTTCATGTTTTACGTTTTTACAAATTCGGAACGGAACAGGGTGAAAAATGCCCAGATGCGCGGTCGCGCTAGTTTTAGCGCACCCAGAAACAGAAAGTCAGCCAATTAGCGCGCCCAGATGCGCGGTCAAATGCGCTGCAGCGCTAGTTAAGCCCGGAAAAAGTGTCCTTTTTCACATTGGAGAAGGTATAATTGTTTGGGCCCAACCCTACTTGGTATATATACATAGGAGAACGTTTTTGAGAGCAATTTTTGACGAAGGAAGAGCACAGAGCCGCCGTGGAGGCCGGGTTTCATCTTTTCTTCCACCAACTTAGTAATTTTTATGTTCTTTGTATGATTTGTTATTTTGCTACCATGTCTATGTGGAGCTAAACTTCACGTTCTAGGGTTGTGGTTCTTTCATGACTATTGTTATTTAGATATTGATTTTGATTTCTTAGTTTATCATATTGGTTTATTTATTCAATCCTGCACTTAATTATTTGATTGCTTGATTACCAATTGAATACAATCTACGAATCTAGAGTTGAACTCGAAAGTGGGAATTCTAGATTGCATATAGGATTAAGTAGAGCAAGTTCTTGAACCTGGGCCTCGGGGAACGGATTCGCGGTTAGGATAGACATATACCTAATTGCCTTGCTTGGTTGATTTACAGGAATTATAAATGCGTTCTTGTTGATTCTAATTCCATAGACATATAGGAGTTAGGTTAGCTTGAATAGGCGAGTAAGAACTCGACAGATTCTTATGAGCAATATTAACCCTGTCAACCAATAAACTCGATAAATTAGTTAGTCAATTCAATTGAAGAATAAAATAGGAATGTTAGATAGCCCATAACCCTAGATCGTTTTCATTACATTGATATCATAAAAATCTGCTCTTTCTCTCTGTTAAAAGTTCATTATTCATTTTTATTTATTTTAATTAGTTTAGAATCAAATACTTCTAGGTTTAATTCTTCTATAGATAATTAGGATAGTCTAATTTAGTTAATAGTTAATCACAAGTCCTCGTGGGAACGATACTCTACTCACTACTTTATTACTTGACGACCGCGTGCACTTGCGTGAGCGTTTGGCCGCAACACCCAGCCAATATAAACAAAAGAAGAAACAATAATATGCCCAATGCATTAGAAATAGCCAACATTCTTGCAATATTAGTGGATAACGTGCATGCATGAGGATGAAAATAGCCGTAAAAAGAGCCAAATCGATCACTTGAGTGGGAGGGAAACCGTCAAGCAAGGATCAGCCTTTGAGGACTACGGATTACCTCTCAAGATTAGCCTATAAAGGATAATTTGCTCAAACAAGAAAACCATTGTGTTGTTGTTTATTTGGAGGACTGTCTAAATAATATTAATAAGATCAGAGACAGTCTCCACCATACTATTCATACAAATTGCTACTTTGCTTTTCAATATATCCAACATCATATTTGTATATGATTATAAAATTCACTGCTTTGCTTTTCCATCTTCCATCTCCTAATATTTGATTTCTTCTTCTTAACTATTCGTAATCACTTTGTGATTTTCATATATAAATCAGAGAGATGGCCGATCCAAACACAATTAGGACTATTGTAGGAATTATTGGTTCGTTCCTATATAACCTTCTTATAGTTAGTTTCCTTCAACTATCTTTTTAAAGGAAATATTATAGTAATTCCTTAATTTAACTCTTCTTATTATGTATTAAATCATGCAGGTAATGTCATATCTTTCTTCCTCTTCCTGTCCCCTGCGTAAGTTCTCTCTACCTTAATTAATTTGCCTCATCATTGCATATACGTAACCTTAATTATATTCCCTCTTAATGATCTTGTTAAAAAAATGACTTTTGCGTCAAACTAAATTCAAAAAGGTAACTCATGAGGTGAGTTTAGTATGCCAAATTAGACAATATAAGGAGACAAAATTCCATTCTTTCAACCAATATTGGCACATTCTAATACCATTCTCCTCGTTCTCTAGACATGCATAGAATTGGACGTATGGAGAGTCAGCAATATAACATAAATCCAATATCAACCAATAACACATACTATACATTTGGCTATGAATTTATGCTAAAAATGAACTTTGAATATAACTTAACGGCAAAAGCTATCTCTCATTAGGTTAGGATTACCCAAGACAATATACAACAACAATTTGAAACATTCTAACAAGTCTCATACATACAACTCCTAGCTATGCATTGCTGTTTTTTGCAGGCCAACATTTGTGAAAATTGTGAAATCAAAGTCGGTGATGGAATTCAAGCCAGATCCATATGTTGCAACGGTGCTAAATTGTGCAGTGTGGGTATTTTATGGTATGCCCTTCGTTCATCCTGACAGCCTTCTTGTTATCACCATCAATGGCTTTGGTCTCGCTCTAGAGTTGTTCTATGTCGCCATTTTCTTCGTCTACTCCGATTGGGCAAAGCGTGTATGTACTCTTTCTTTCCTTTTAGTTTAGGTAGTAGTAGTAGTAGTAGTAAATCCATTGCTCTTGACCCAAACTATATATGAACCTACTTGACTCTAGACCTTGGATAGGATATAATATTCCATGGGCTTCAATTAACACGCTTTCTGTTATTGATAATTAACAGCGCAAGATCATTATTGCTTTGGTAATTGAAGCAATCTTCATGGCAATCCTTATCTTCGTCACACTGACATTCCTCCATGGCACTAAGTCAAGATCCATGCTTATTGGAATAGTCGCTATAGTTTTCAATGTACTTATGTACACCTCACCATTGACAGTCATGGTAAGTTCACTTTCATCAATTTTCCATTGAATATGCAGCAATTTAACCAGAGAGTACTAACACCATATATATGGTTGTTCTCAATTTTGTCTTTGAGCAGAAGAAAGTTATCACTACCAAGAGTGTCAAATACATGCCATTCTTCTTGTCAATTGCAAACTTTGCTAATGGCATTGTTTGGTCATGCTATGCACTCCTCAAATTTGATCCCTATATCTTGGTAATTATACTCATCAACTATGTTTTGCCACTTAATGTTCATCCTACATATTTAATTAGATACTACTATAAAAGTCACTAACATGTCTTTTTCTTCTTAATTATAAAATAGATACCCAATGGTCTGGGAACAATATCTGGATTGGTGCAGCTCATCCTTTATGCAGCTTTTTACCGCACTACCAATTGGAACGAAGATGAAAAAGAGGTTGAACTCAGCGCTTCCAAAACCAACAAGTCATCAGATGTCTGATAAATATAGCTACTAGATGGCTGCAGAGACAAAAACCTCCACACTCCTAATTTTCTAAAGAAAACCATATGGTGCTTATAGAGAAAAAATAGAAAGAAAAAAAAATCGAATCAGTTTTATAGAATTTATTTACCCCATGTTTTCACTTCATTTCATTGTATATACAGGAAATGATATAAATAAACACATATTGTGCTTATTTACCAAAATATATGTATGAGATATATGAATATCAGTATACCTTCGGTTTTTCCTCTTCTTTTTTTTTTTTACCTATTATGTTATGTAAATGTCAATCTTACATAGAAGAATGTGGTAGTCCACTCGATCACCAAACTCACCAATGTCAAATATGGGGGAAGATTTATATTTAAAAGAAGTAAAACCAAACAACTACAAGTGAAATGAAGAATATGAAAAGAAAGGTATAAGCTTTACACCATCTAAGAGAAATGCAGCCCAATTTGCCAGCCAATACCCACAATCACCAGGAGCTTCTGGTCATTATGAAATATTTGGTAATTGAGACAGATTTAACCTCTTCTCTATATGTATATCTGCGCGGATATTTCTGAGCATTCAAGGTCCACGGTGCTTCCGGAAACAGAAACAACCCTGTTGTTGATCGACGGGGATCATTCCCCCGCCTTTAGATGTGTCAATAGCCTCTAACATAGATACTACCTCGTCCATCTCAGGCCGCTTATCAGGATTAGCATCCCAGCATCGTTTCATCACATTAGCAAGGGAACTTGGGCAACACCTTGGTATTTCTGGCCTCAGGTTCTGTGTGACAGAGCACAAACCATAATAAGCAAAGGACACTCTAAGCAAAAAAGAAACATTAAACCTCTTCCTTCTCTTGTGCCGATAATTACAAGTTTAAGTACAAGAGGAAATCATATATGTTCTTCTCTATCTTCTTTCAAGTACTTGTACTAAACTAAGAGAGTTTACCTGGCGAACCACGGCTGAAGTCACTTCTGAGAAACTGAGATCAGGATATGGCATGTCACAGCAGTATATCTCCCATAAACATATGCCGTAACTGTACACGTCGCATTTTCTGTTGTATGGGTTGCCATTGAGAACCTGTAGTTTAAGCATACATATCAAGAATACTCGATTTCATGTACAGCAATGCTTCCTTATTCTTGCACCTTGTCTTTCCAGCCTCCTTAAATTTTATATCGCATGTTCATTAATTAATTTGATTTTGGGGGCTTTACTTTAATCTTTACCAGTCCTCTACCAGGAGTGGTGAACGAAGATTAGACAACAACAGAACGAGAAAGCAAAAAGTTAACGCAGAGGATCAACACTAAAGATTTCATTCTGCAGTGAATTACTGAATCAACAGGCTTAATTGAAGGTATACTGATATAACAGGAAAGATAAGTCCTTAGGTGTTAGAAGTGAGTGGATTAACATCTAAATGAAGAGAGAACAAAGAGGCAGAGATAAAGCTATATATCAAAAGGGAAATCCTACTCCGATTCAAATATGTACCTCAGGAGCCATATAGCCAAGAGTTCCTGTCTCCCCTGTCATGTCATTAGGATTAGAGGCCTCAACTCGTGCAACCCCAAAGTCAGCAATTTTTACGGTACGTGACTTGTCCAATAGCATATTCTCTGTCTTGACATCTCTATGGACAATCTTCTGAGAGTGAAGGTAACTTAACCTACAAAGTTCAATTAATTGACCTGTGTTCAGATAAATGACTAATTCTTGATAGAGACATGGTGTTAGAAATATGAAAGCGAAACAAGGTGCACTTACCCTCTGGCCAAATCAAGTGCCATCTGCACTACAACTTTGAATGCTAGCTTCTTTCTTCTGTTTTTGATAAGGTAAGATTTTAAGGCGCCTCCAGGAAGATATTCCACAACAACACAACATATATTACTAGGCATGCCAATATGACCGCTTTCTGTTTGTAAATTTAGCCCAGATGCGCCCATGGTTGCCCCGATGAACTATATAACATGAGAGAGATGTTTCATATGTAAGATAAACAGTTTATAACAAAATAATTTCACATCTAAGCCAACAATCAGCGCATATGTTGTCTCTCATTGAAAATGTGCTCTTTCAAATGATTGGCAGTTGACATTAGACGAGTACCAGGACAAATAAAGTTTCTATGTTCCTCTGGCCTTTAGCCATCAGGGATAGATATAGTATGTGACATATAGGTTCATTCGAACATAGTAGCTTCGGTTCAGACTCTGTATGTGTTAAAATCAACTAAATAAGTACAAAGAGTAGATTTCGAACTCAGTAAATTAAATGGGCAGTGATAGAATTCCGAACTCTGTTAGCCATGCATGACATATGCTACTAAAAGGTATGCATCCAATCATCATAACATAGTGAATATGCAGTAGCCAGTAAATAAAATGAACACGAACTTCAAATTGGAGTTAGTTTTTCTACTAATAAAGACATGCGAAAACTTGACATCTCTTTTATAGTCTCTAGAGGAGCACAGTTTTACCTTTACTGTAAAGGTTTCGGGTCCATTACTGAATGAATTATTCAGTTAAACCTGGATTACTATATGATTTATCTAGTTTTGGCAATAATGTGTTAAGAATTAAGAGCTCTGCACTCCCACGGCAATGTGACAGCTCAAGTGCAGCAAATCTCATTGTTCATAACTTGATGAGAAATCAAAATTTGTATTTAGGATTTAAAAAGAAATGACAGTGTAAACAATATCCGGTAATTCAAGTCATTTCCTCATATTCTTTTTCCCCCTTTTGATGGTAGCAGCAAACTCTTTCATGTTCTATAGTTTAATTTATTTATCAATGTAAAAAATCCC